ATTTATATAAAAAATTATAATGATATAATATAAAAAATTATATGTATTTTTATATAATAATTATGACGTAAAAAACAAATAAATTAAATATATATATATCATTTTAATAAAATACATAGTTCATTTATGAATAAAATAAATAACTATAAAATTAAATATAAATTTATATGTTTTTTCATTTCTTATAGAATATATAAATAAATGTATAAATTAAATAAATTACATATTTATCATAATACAAACTAATATTGTAAGGCACACACCCTTTAGTGAAGCAGACTGATCTCCTGCAGCTGGGCTGAACTACATCCATCAGTAAAGCGTATCTGAGCAGGGTTTTGGGGGGCAGCAGATACTGATCCATGTCTTCTTTACCCTCCTGCAGGAAGTCCTGCAGCCTCCGAACTGTTTCCTGACTGTCCTGGATCCTCTTCCTTCCCAACTCTTGTTCTGTCTCCAGCTTAAAAATGATCGTCCCACTCTTTTCTCCCTCACATTCAGATGATGTAGGATTATTGTGTGGACCCGTGAGACTGTCTGGTGATTCACACATGGGGAAGCCCTCCATAATCTGCCAGTAGAAGAAAAGCTTCAGTATTCAACTGCAGCTGCATTAGTTAGAATAGATCTAAACAGAAAAGTACCTCTGCTGAAGTCGGGAATGAGAAGGATCCTGGTGGTCTCTTTGCAATGAGGAAGTATCTGAGCCTAGAGTTAGGTATCCCAAGCTGTGGCAAAAAAAAACCATCATGAAAACAAAACTGGGATACAAAACTATTAAGAGATGAAGAGACATGCTTACAGATGTTGGTGAGATCAGAAACTCCTGAAAGCTGTAGTCACACTCTCTCAGTGTCTTAAGCAAAGCATCCCTGTAAATTAAAAGACCAAAACAGCTCAGTTACGCTTAAAATTGGCTTATATTGGCTCTGATGGTTCCATGAAGAACGTATAACATCCATGGAAACTTTAAAGGGATTGTCATCAAATACCCATTGTTCCAAACCTGTATGAGTTTCATTCTTCTGAAAAACACAAAAGAAGATATTTTGAAGAAAGTTCATAACCAAACAGCTGACGGTAGCCATTGACTTCCACGGTATTTTATTACATACTATGAAAGTCAATGGCTACCGTCAACTGTTTGGCTACCAACATTCTTCAA